ATGTCAAAGCAATATCAAGATAAAATTTCCCCAGGTTTTCTAAAAAATTAATTTTGGGATTGTTTACAAATATTTATAATCTCAGGGTTGTATAAATTCTTTATTATAAGAGGAAAACATTATAATATTTATGTTTTTGTGAGACAAATTTTAAATAAGAATTTTTTCTTCTAATTTTCATAAATTTAGTTTTAAACCATAACAATTACATTTTCAAAGTTCTATTTTTCCTCTTTTGTTTATCTAAATATTAGTCCATGGACCTTAGTTGAAATATTTGTGACCCAGGTTTAATCTTTTTTTTGTTTTTAAGTGAGTGTTTTTTTTTTTCTTAATTATTATTATTATTATTATTTTTTTTTTTTACGTATTTATTTTTGAGACAGAGAGAGACAGAGCATGAACGGGAGAGGATCAGAGAGAGAGGGAGACACAGAATCTGAAACAGGCTCCAGGCTCTGAGCTGTCAGCACAGAGCCCGACTTGGGGCTAGAACTCACAGACCATGAGATCATGACCTGAGCCGAAGTCCGACGCTTAACTGACTGAGCCATCCAGGCGCCCCAGTCTTTTTTCTTTTTTTTTATGTTTATTTATTTTTGAGAGAGAGACAGAGCATGAGCGGGGGAGGGGCAGAGAGAGAGGGAGACACAGAATCCTAAGCAGGCTCCAGGGTTCAAGCTGTCAGCACAGAGCCCGATGTGGGGCTCGAACTCACGGACAGGGAGGGAGATCATGACCTGAGCCGAAGTCGGACGCTCAACTGACTGAGCCACCCAGGTCCCCGACCAGCTTTAATCTTAAATAAAATATATTTTGTTTTCTCTTTGAAAATATATATATTACTGTAAAGTTATAGATAAAGTGAATTTATGATGGTTTGCTGCCAATAGCAAGGAATTTGATATTTGGGTTTTAATAGAAATAAGAATTAAATTTAAACTAGTAGAAGTATCTTTTTTGCCAATAGATTGTCAGAAAACATATCAAATGTATAACCAACTTTAAAAAATGTTACTATGAGCTTCTATACACTTACCACCAAAATTCTTTCATCCGTACTTTACTAATACTTTTTCATGCATCTATTCATCTATATATCACTGTAAATATCAGCCAATCTGTCTTACTTTATGGGTAATTTTTAAAAATATTTGTTTTTTGGAAAGCACAAGTGGGTGAGGGGCAGACACATAGGGACAGAAGGGATGGGGGATCCAAAGTGGGCTCTGTGCTGACAGGCTGACAACAGTGAGCCCTATGTGGGGCTCAAACTCATGAACTGTGAAATCATAACCTGAGCCAGTCTGATACTCAACTGATAGAGCCACCCAAGTGTCCCTTTTGGGTATATTTTAAAGTAAATTACAGGCACCAGTACACTTCTTCCTAAATATTTCATGTATATTATGAAAGAGTTCACTATTTGTTTATAGTCTTTCTTTTGATGAAAAGTTTTCATAAAATATAATCCACAAGTCTTAACTGCACAATAGAAAAGTTGTAATAAATGTATATATCTGTGTAACTCAAAGCTCTAATAAAATGTGTACCATTTCCTTTGCCCCATTAACAGCCCTTCTGTTCCTTCTCAGTGAATCTCCATCTCACTGCCTAGAGAGTTAACAATTGCTCTGTTTGTTTTTTCCCCACAGAATAATGTTTTGCCTGTTCTAGAACGTGGGATAAATGAAGTCATACAGTGTGTATACTCTTTTGTGTAATGCTTCATTCACAGTGTTATGTTCTGAGAATCACCCATGAGAGATTGCTTCTTTTCATTGTTGGTTAGTATGCCATTGTATGAATATATAGCAGTTTTGCTCGTTCTTTTTCATATTGATGAGATGGATATCTGCACTGTTCTATTTTGGTGTATAATGCATTATGAGTATTTTTGTGTACACTTTCTTTTACAGATATGTTTTTAAAATTTTTATTAGGTAAATACTTAGGATTGAAATTGCTGGCTATCTTCACTTTTGAAGTAAAGAAATATCTTCACTTTTATTAGAAATCACTAGACCTTTTCCCAAAGTGCTGGGATCGTTTTACATTCCCACCAACAATGTATAAAAATTCCGGTTACTGCACATCCTCACTACCATTTGGTGTTATCAGTCTTTAGTTAAATTTTAGTCAATCTGGTATGTTGTTTGGTAACATATTGTTGTAGTTTTAATTTGAATTTACCTAATTATTAATGATGTTGAACATCGTTCCATGTGCTTATTGTCCATTTGCATATCTTTTGTGTAGTATCTGTTTAAATCATTGCCCATATTTAATTTTTTCTTGAACTATTTCAGTACCGATTTTATTGCCTGACTTCAAATGTATGTGTTTTTTCCCTTAATATAAAAAGAAATTTGGCTTACTAGTTTTAAGGTTATGGGACGTATCTGTGGAACTTCTCATGATTTTGGAAAGTCTCCAAGTTCCACATAAAGTTATCAAAACTATTGCACTATCCTTTTGACCATGGTGGTAATTTGGATACAAATTTTCCACAACTTCACTTTTGGAGACAGGTTTTTAGACCTTTGCAAAGGCTTATTTTAATTAGAAAAGATATAATTATGTGTTCCATAAGAAAGAAAAAAACATCTATAATCAGAAAAATGACCTATTGCTGAATCTAAAAAGAAGGTACTGGGGCGCCTGGGTGGTGCAGTCGGTTAAGCGTCCGACTTCAGCCAGGTCACGATCTCGCGGTCCGTGAGTTCGAGCCCCGCGTCAGGCTCTGGGCTGATGGCTCAGAGCCTGGAGCCTGTTTCCCATTCTGTGTCTCCCTCTCTCTCTCTGCCCCTCCCCCGTTTATGCTCTGTCTCTCTCCATCCCAAAAATAAATAAACGTTGAAAAAAAAAATTAAAAAAAAAATAAAAAAAATAAAAAGAAGGTACTTATACCAGTAAGTCTTCTTGTACCAGTATTTTTTCTTATACCGTTGTATGTTGATGCCCACAAGTTTTTCGAGTAGAATGCCAGTAGAAGACTTCTGTAGTTAGTAGAGATGTTCTTTTCCTTAAAGAAACTGCTTGTGCTACTTCAAAATGTAACATGGGCACTTTTTCTCCTCCTCCTTTTTCTTCCTTTTCTAATAGTGGTGATGGTGATGATGATGATAAGGATGATGATAGAAACTATGAATTATTGCTTGCTCACTATGTGTTACACAACATGCTTAAAAACAATATTTTCTTGTATTATATGAGATAAAAAATTAGTTTGCCCTGATTTTATACACAAAGTATCTAAAGCAAGGGCAACTAGTTATTTGTCTGAAGTCGTGGGGGTGATAAGTGATGGAATTGGAACCCATATTTAACGTTTTCTGCCTCTTATTAACTGTGATGTGCTGCTTTGGAGATGACAGACTCATGAATTTGGAACATGAAACGTGATTGGTTTTACTATTATACATGTATAAGTCACTTTGTGGTATCAGGAGTGCTCTATAGGACATTCTGTAGGAGTATTCTTGTTTGGTTTGTCTTTTATAGGCACCAGAATCTTAACTCCATTGTGAATTGCAGTCTACCTAGTCCAGAGAGGTAGCTGTAATGATATCTAGAAGAATTCTTGAGTTCAAAGACTTATAAACTAGCAGATAGATTACCTAAGATTGAGTACACTATACAGCATGTGGAAGATGGACTAGTACAGAGCACCTACTGTGTGCTTGGCATTCTGTTAGACAAGGCTGAATAAGTTATGTATCCTTGCCAAGAAGAGCTTATAGTCTAATAAGGATTGCTAAAATGTACATAGAGAATTTATTATATGGTTAAGTACTAGGATAGAGACATGCAATCGACTATATATCCTATACCCATGGTGTTTCAGATAGCATCCTTTAGTCTCTGCTTGATAAGACTTGGGCAAAATTCAATGTTAGATTTCAGTGGGAAATGTTTGCTGATTTTTTTTTTTAAACTTTTTAATGTTTATTTTTGAGAGATAGAGAGAGACAGAGCATGAGTGGGGGAGGGGCAGAGAGAGGGAGACACAGAATCTGAAGCAGGCTCCATGCTCTGAGCCGGCAGCACAGAGCCTGATGTGGGACTCCAACCCTCCAACCAAGAGATCTTGTCCTGAGCCAAAGTTGGACGCCCAGTGGACTGTGCCACCCAGGTGCCCAAATGTTGACTGATTTTAATTTTGCATTTAAAAAAAAATTTTTTTTTTCAACGTTTATTTATTTTTGGGACAGAGAGAGACAGAGCATGAACGGGCAAGGGGCAGAGAGAGAGGGAGACACAGAATCGGAAACAGGCTCCAGGCTCTGAGCCATCAGCCCAGAGCCTGACGCGGGGCTCGAACTCACGGACCGCGAGATCATGACCTGGCTGAAGTCGGACGCTTAACTGCGCCACCCAGGCGCCCCTTAATTTTGCATTTTATGCTCTTCTTGCATAACTTTGTTCAGTACTATAATTGGCTAATTACTAATTTCAGAAACTTCTCTTTTCTAACCACTGCAAAATTCAGAATTTTTAAAATGCTGAATCTTAAAAGCTAAAACTGTCTCTTAAGAGAAAGAGAACAAAATCCTGATTTTATTTCTTTACAGACTTCCAGGCCCTATCTTTACTGAGGGTGGGTTGTTCTGTTTGCTCAAACTGCTGAGAAATTTATATCCTTACATGAACAGAGACTAAGGCAGAGAGTGATGCTGGAAAGTAAGGGACATAGAGAATATGAAATACTTGGATATGTTACTGGATTTCATTGGGATAAATGGGAATAAATCATCCCTTTGTATCTGAAAATTGGACACTAACAATCTTTATGTTGCCAGTCATTTATTTGGGATGCTTGGGAATTTACTATCATAGAATCATTTAAAGAGATAGAAAATCCAAGAATGGTGGGGTTGAATGCTTATATTTTGAGCATTGGGTAACTTACAGCATGAAAAAGACAGACTTAGGTTACAAAATATCTGGCTCTGGGAAACAAAAGGAAACAGATTATATAATTATGTCACAGGAATTCCCTTCTGCCTGCAGTTGATGCCTGGAGACAGCTGAAAAGAAATTACAGAAATTGATGTTTAAGAAGTACATTTTGCATCATGTTTTAGCAATATAGGTATGTATGGTGTGTGTGTATAAACAGAAACAAAAGTTTCCAGAAACAATACTGAGCTTTATAATGTTTCATTTGCTGTGATATTTCCTATTCTGCTTTATTCTATTCTAGCCCATCCCATCCCATCCCATCCCATCCCATCCCATCCCATCCCATCTCACCCCATCCTATTTCATTCTTTTTTTTTAATTATGACATTTATTGTCAAATTGGTTTCCATACAACACCCAGTGCTAATCCCAGCAGGTGCCTTCCTCAATGCCCATCACCTACTTTCCTCTCCCTCCCACCCCCCATCAACCCTCAGTTTATTCTCAGTTTTGAAGAGTCTCTTATGGTTTGGCTCCCTCCCTCTCTAACCTTTTTTTTCCCTTCCCCTCCCCCATGGTCTTCTGTTAAGTTTCATCCTATTTCATTCTATTCTTATATTAAGGGAAGAGTGACTTTACAGTTGTTCATGTAGTTATTTGATCATTTAGGGGAGACAATTATCGAAAATTTGGAAAAACATGTTTGAAAGCAAACATAAGGGGTTTAATGTACTAGATAAGCAGACTAGTATTCTCTTTCAGTCTCTTTCTAATAAAGCCACCCTTCATCCACTCCCATCTTCCCTCTTTCCTGCCTTTGTACTCCTATTTATACCACATAACTGCCGATCCCTGGCCACATCTGATTACACCATGGGTAAATATCTGGCTCCAAAGAAATCAATCTGTAGTCTGACTTGTACCAACCAGATGCCTGGATTGTTTAGATTTTTCTAGGATTCTGATAGATCTCTATCTCTTCATTTATTCGTTTTTAGAATCAATTTCAGGTTTCACTTCCTTGTATTCAAACATGGCTTGACAGAAGTGCAGGCATTTCACTTATTGTCATTTAAACCTCATCCCTCCAGAGATGTAACACACTATCTTGCAGTCTATATTATTACTTGTTGACTAGTCAATATGCTATGGCTATGCCAATACTCTTTGTGACATTGGCCAATAAGTTTGATTCAAAACTAAATTTAGGTAAATTTTTATTTTTCTAGGTGCTTCATCACCACTTCAGACAGACAAAATTATCTTCAGACAGTTAAGTAATAAATAAGTATTTTCTCAGACTACTTTTGCTGGCTAAGGAGTCAATAGGTCTTATTGAATGGTTGACAGGCTATAGGCTCTCTTTCTTTAGATTGTCTTTTCATCTTCTATTTCTTTGGTTCATTACATAGACCTTACACTTTCAACTTAGGCACTTTTCCCTTAGAGTTGTTAGGTGAAGACTTTGATGTCCTGATATATCAGGACATTGGAAAGGATTTAGCCATGGAAAGGATTCCTAGCCTGCCTTTTTTTCTCTCCATGAAGCATGAATTTCAAGCTAGTTCACAATCTTAAAGTTTCTTTAATATTTAGAAAAGTGACTTATTTTGAAAATTGAGTGATATTAAGTATCTCAAGTAACTATAAAACATTTCAAAAATCATGTATTTTCAACTTAACATTAATTTTTTGGTTTCTAAGGCCACAGAACTCTTCCATTATGGTCTGAAGCCAAATATTTAGACACACTGCAAAAGAATCCCATTATGAACCTCTCATTCAATTAGCTGTTTTCAAAGGGCAGAGAACAGGAATTTAGTCTCCTTCGTGAGAAGAGCAGATAAGAGTTTTATTTGCTAAGTGGTTTTTGAGAGAGAATTTTGAATAATTTTTTCCATGAGTTTTATATTGAATATATTCTCTATTAAAATTTCTGAGCTACAGTTTCATTTCCCTTCTTATTTTAAAATAAACAAGAGTTGAGTAAGTATACTAATTAGTTTGGAAGACATCTTTATTTTCATAAAAGTATTAGAACTAGTGATTTTATTTTAGAGAGACTTCATATGTTTTATTTCATTTGGGGAATTACATTAATGTACTATTTTTGATAGTATTTTGTACTCAGAGTTTTCTCTTTCCCCCAACCCTCCCATTCCATAAAATTAAGGATTAGAGTGTATTTCCAAATAAACATCAATTATATTTTCATTCTGATAGGGAGAGGATTATACATGCCCTCATGCTTTACCTTTGAAATATTTTATTTTTATTTTTATTTTTTTGTATTCTGTTTTTTAAATATGAAATTTATTGGTTTCCATACAACATCCAGTGCTCATCCCAACAGATGCCCTTCTCAATGCCCATTACCCACTTTCCCTTCCCTCCCACCTCCCATTAACCCTCAGTTTGTTCTCAGTTTTTAAGAGTCTCTTACGGTTTGGCTCCCTCCCTCTCTAACTTTTTTTTTTCCTTCCCCTCCCACATGATCTTCTGTTAAGTTTCTCAGGATCCACATAAGTGTGAAAACATATTGTATCTGTCTTTGTCTGTATGACTTATTTCACTTAGCATAAAACTCTCCAGTTCCATCCACGTTCCTACAAAAGGTCATATTTCATTCTTTCTCATTGCCATGTAGTATTCCATTGTGTATACAAACCACAATTTCTTTATCTATTCATCAGTAGGTGGACATTTAGGCTCTTTCCATAATTTGGCTCTTGTTGAAAGTGCTGCTATAAACATTAGGGTACATGAGCCCCTATGCATCAGCACTCCTGTATCCCTTGGGTAGACTCCTAGCAGTGCTACTGCTGGGTCATAGGGTAGATCTATTTTTAATTTTTTGAGGAACCTCCACACTGTTTTCCAGAGTGGCTGCACCAGTTTGCATTCCCAACAAGAGTGCAAGAGGGTTCCCATATCTCCACATCCTCACCAGCATCTGTAGTCTCCTGATTTGTTCATTTTAGTCACTCTGACTGGTGTGAGGTGGTATCTGAGTGTGGTTTTGATTTGTATTTCCCTGATGAGGAGTGACATTGAGCATCTTTTCATGTGCCTGTTGGCCATTTGGATGTCTTCTTTAGAGAAGTGTCTGTTCATGTCTTCTGCCCATTTATTCTCTGGATTATTTGTTTTTCAGGTGTGGAGTTTAGTGAGGTCAATATAGATTTTGGATACTAGTCCTTTGTCTGATATGTCATTTGCAAATATCTTTTCCCATTCTGTTGGTTGCCTTTTAGTTTGGTTGATTGCTTCCTTTGCAGTGCAGAAGGTTTTTTATCTTGGTGAGGTCCCAATAGTTCATTTTTGCTTTTAATTCCCTTGCCTTTGGAGATGTGTCAAGTAAGAAATTGCTACGGCTGAGGTCAGAGAGGTTCCTTCCTGCTTTTTCCTCTAGGGTTTTGATGGTTTCCTGTCTCACATTCAGGTCCTTCATCCATTTTGAGTATATCACTTGAGTGAATGGTGTAAGAAAGTGGTATAGTTTTATTCTCCTTCTTCATGTTGCTGTCCAGTTCTCCCAGCACCATTTGTTAAAGAGACTGTCTTTTTTCCACTGGATACTCTTTTCTGCTTTGTCAAAGATTAGGTGGCCATACTTTTGTGGGTCCAATTCTGGAGTCTCTATTCTATTCTATTGGTCTATGTGTCTGTTTATGTGCCACTACCATGCTGTCTTGATGATTACAGCTTTGTAGTAGAAACTAAAGTCTGGGATTGTGATGCCTCCTGCTTTGGTTTTCTTCTTCAATACATCTTTGGCTATTCAAGGTCTTTTGTGGTCCATACAAATTTTAGGATTGCTTGTTCTAGCTTCAAGAAGAATGCTGGTGCAATTTTGATTGGGATTGCATTGAATGTGTAGATAGCTTTGGGTAATATTGACATTTTGACAATATTTATTCTTCCAATCCATGAGCACGGAATGTTTTTCCATTTCTTTGTATCTTCTTCAATTTCCTTCGTAAGCTTTCTATAGTTTTCAGCATATAGATCTTTTACGACTTTGGTTAGGTGTATTCCTAGATATTTTATGACTCTTGGTGCAATTGTGAATGGGATAAGTTTCTTTAGTTGTCTTTCTGTTGCTTCATTATTAGTGTACAAGAATGCAACTTATTTCTTTTACATTCAATTTTTACCCTGTGACTTTGCTGAATTCATGTATCAGTTCTAGCAGACTTTTGGTGGAGTCTATCAGATTTTCCATGTATAATATCATGTCATCTGTAAAAAGTGAAAGCTTGACTTCATCTTTGCCAATTTTGATGCCTTTGATTTCCTTTGGTTGTCTGATTGCTGATATTAACACTTCCAACACTATTTTAAACAACAGCAGTGAGAGTGGACATCCCTGTCGTGTTCCTGATCTTAGGGAGAAAGCTCAATTTTTCCCCATTGAGGATGATATTAGCTGTGGGCTTTTCATAAATGGCTTTTATGATGTTTAAGTATGTTCCTTCTATCCTGACTTTCTCGAGGGTTTTTATTAAGAAAGGATGCTGAATTTTGTCAAATGCTTTTTCTGCATCAATTGACAGGATCATATGGTTCTTTTCTTTTATTAATGTGATGTATCACATTGATTGATTTGTGAATATTCAACCAACCCTGCATCCCAGGAATGAATCCCACTTGATCATGGTGAATAATTCTTTTTATATGCTGTTGAATTCGATTTGCTAGTATCTTGTTGAGAATTTTTGCATCCATATTCTTCAGCGATATTGGCCTGTAGTTCTCCTTTTTTGCTGGGTCTCTGGTTTGGGAATCAAAGGAATGCTGGCTTCATAGAATGAGTCTGGAAGTTTTCCTTCCCTTTCTATTTTTTTGGAACAGCTTGAGAAGGATAGGTATTATCTCTGCTTTAAATATCTGGTAGATTCCCCAGCGAAGCCATCTGGTCCTGGATTCTTATTTGTTGGGAGATTTTTGATAACTGACTCAATTTCTTCACTGGTTATGGGTCTGTTCAGATTTTCTATTTCTTCCTGTTTGAGTTTTGGAAGTGTGGGTGCTTAGGAATTTGTCCATTTTTTTCCAGGTTGTGCAGCTTGTTGGCATATAATTTTTCATAGTACTCCCTGACAATTGCTTGTATTTCTGAGGGATTGGTTGTAATAATTCCATTTTCATTCCTGATTTTATCTATTTGGGTCATCTCCCTTTTTGAGAATTCTGGCTACAGGTTTATCAATTTTGTTTATTTTTTCAAAAAACCAACTCTTGGTTTCATTGATCTGATCTACTGGTTTTGTTGTTGTTGTTGTTGTTGTTCTTTTTTTTTTTTTTTAGATTCTATATTGTTTATTTCTGCTCTGATCTTTATTATTTCTTTTCTTCTGCTGGGTTTGGGGCGTTTTTGCTGTTCTGCTTCTAGTTCCTTTAGGTGTGTTGTTAGATTTTGTATTTGGGGTTTTTCTTGTTTCTTGAGTTAGGCCTGGATTGCAATGTATTTTCCTCTCAGGACTGCCTTTGCTGCATCCCAGAGCGTTTGGATTGTTGTATTTTCATTTTCATTTGTTTCCATATATTTTTAAATTTCTTTTCTAATTGCCTGGTTGACTCATTCATTCTTTAGTAGGGTGTTCTTTAACCTCCATGCTCTTGGAGGTTTTCCAGGCTTTTTCCTATAGTTGATTTCAAGTTTCATAGCATTGTGGTCAGAAAGTGTTCATGGTATGATCTCAATTTTTTATACTTATGAAGGGCTGTTTGGTGACCCAGTATGTGATCTATCTTGGAGAATGTTCCATGTGTACTCGAGAAGAAAGTATACTCTGTTGCTTTGGGATGCAGAGTTCTAAATATATCTGTCAAGTCCATCTCATCCAATGTATCATTCAGAGCCCTTGTTTCTTTATTGATCCTGTGCCTAGATGATCTATCCATTGGTGTCCTCAGGTCTAAAATGAGTCTCTTGTAGACAGCAAATAGATGTGTCTTGTTTTTTTTTTTTTTTTATCCATTCTGATACCCTATGTCTTTTGGTTGGAACATTTAGTCCATTTACATTCAGTGTGATTATTGAAATATATGGGTTTAGAGTAATTGTGATGTCTGTAGGTTTCATGCTTTTAGTGATGTCTCTGGTACTTTGTGGTCCTTGCAACATTTCAGTCACAGAATCCCCCTTAGGATCTCTTGTAGGGCTGGTTTAGTGGTGATGAATTCCTTCAGTTTTTGTTCATTTGGGAAAACCTTTATCTCTCCTATTCTGAATGACAGGATTTCTGGATAAAGGATTCTTGACTGCA